CCACCCACGGCAGCTCTACCGTAGAGCCCTAAAGTGGAAACGATAGTTGATAGCTGGATAAGAAAGGTGCTACAACCACCGCATATTCAACGAGAACACACTCATCCGACCCTGACCTATTCGACAAGAGGTACCAACGGTTGTGCCTCAAAATCATTCGACAAGAGGAAATAATCAGAGCTTTCCAATCCCACTAATCGAGGTCATTGGAACTAGGGATGAAGTGAGAGCTAAGTCGACGGCTTAACGCCTCACCCAATCGACACGAACAGAAAGGTCCGAAGAATGAAGTAGATGTGTGGATTAGGAACGAGTAAAGAGATCAGAGGCAACTCCTTAATAAATGGTTTGTGAGCGGGTGGACGCCAGAACCACTGGAACGCACATTCGGCTTTTGGCTTAAGGGCTGCTAATGAATAAATGAGGACCTACCACAATCACATCTACATCAGTGCTTTGGCTGCGAACCTCTTCATACTGGAAGAAGAACCCAAATGGCTGCAAATGACCAGTCTCATTCCTTCGAATTTCCCGACTCTCGTCCACAATCGACTGCAACACACACCGCACCTGCAGTTCAGATAGATCTGCCTCCGTCACATCCCGAATATGCAATTCGGGATAGCGGGTGGCATTAATCACGGAGTAGCGATCCTCTAAACAAAGGAATAAGAAAAACTGCTATTCTCTCCCAGAGCCAAGAAAGTGTAGAAGTCGGTGTCGCCTCATCAAAAAGTTATGCGCTGTCCTGTTTGACCTGTCGAGTCCGCTTTTGAAGAGGAAAATTATCGCAACCACTCAGGTCACAGAAGTACATTGTGAGCACTTTACCTAGGGCCTGCCAAGCACTGACATGCACAAAGCATGCACTCGTGCCTCCGAAGTGTGGAAAGTAAGTGGATGAGTTTGAAGTAACCAGCAATACAAGTCAGCCCTCCTCAAACAAAAAGAAAAACAATCCAAGCAAATGCACTTTTATGCGGAAGAGTAACAAACACCCTCCGAAGCTAACTGACATCTGTCAGTTAGCGCAGATGGGATCCATCTGCTTAATAGCTTCCAGGACTTTCCTCATGTAGTTGCTACGGATGTAAACGATTTCGTCCTCCCACGCCAACGGGTGCGGCTAAGAACGGTGGATGCACCTATCTTTGAGTATTTCGTTGCAGGAACCACCCTGTTCAACCTCATTTGGGTCATGAGGCAAATCTAACCAACAGACGTTCCGTGCAAATGCGAAAATCCAGAACAACTGTGTGTAATGGCGAGAGTCATCGCACTTCATTAGAACTTCATCATGCACTCGCATCCTCCTCCTCCTTCCGAGAAGCGGAAGCACAGCCGAGAACGTACTTCTCTCCTTTCCACCTCAATAGAGATGCTACAATACTTAAGGTAATGTCAAGCTACGTTTTCCTTGATCCACCTATAATCTCGTGAGAAATCCTACACCCACTCAAACGCCCTCTTCCAGGATGAGATTATCGAAATCTGTAAATTTCTCGCCCGAGTGCTAGTAATTATAATAATTACGAAACTGAACATTAAAGTACGTAAATATTTGAATTGCATCCAAATTAGAAGACGAATGACATACTTGAGTGCGTAACGGTGGCAATCAGAGTATCATTGCGGAAGACCTCCCAATACTTGACCTTGAGAAATCGGTTGAATATCTCCTGCTCCGGTTGGCATCGGATTACCGCCTTTTGGCCTGGTTTCACGGGGAATGTGTGATACTTTATCCGCAAATTTTCGTCCGGCACGGGAACTAGGTGAAAAGTTTAACAAATTGACACTACAGAGGTGTCTAAACGAAAAAATATTAACGACATTACCTTGACCTGCGCAAAGAAACCGTACTTGCCACCTTTTGCCTCCAACAGGTGCCCACACAACCACTCTTAATCAGGCAAGGGGAGGAGAATGGCAGTACGTATACCCTTAACAGCATTGTAATGAAACGCTCAGCTAAGCCTGATCTTTGGTGACTAACCGACTCCAAGCCGACCATAAAAGACGGACATTTTATGGGAGATGTATCGAAGAGAATTATTTACGAGCCTAAATAGTTACAATCGCAAAGAGACTACACAGGTGTGAGTACCCCAGTGAGTTGAAGGAGTTGCGTGAGAAACGAAGCTAAGGTTTTCGCGATTGCAATGACAAATACAGCGAAATTCTAGCCCTTGAAGGCCAGTACTCCAGCTTTGATAATCAACAAAGTAGAATGACCCGCTGCGGTTTAGCCGCACCAAATTGTTTACGGTCCAACCTTATTCACGGTCCGAATAGCACTCACCTTGGTGAATTACCATTTTTCTGGACCGTGTCCGTCCAAGGCTATTTTCAGCTTCGCAGAAGAACACCATTCGAAGGGTTGATGAACGCGGGGTTGCAGTGAAATTCAACCAGCCATCATCAATCACGTATTGGTTGGGATACATTACCGGTGGTGCCATAGCACCAATCGGCACCAGATCCCTCGACTTTGGATCGTAGAGATGATAGTCATCCGCAGCAGCACCTCTCAACTGACTGTCCATCAACTGAGCATCACTGTGGGTAGGAAAGGTTGGGAAAATGCACTAAAATAATCCTTTCTACTTATTTTTAAAAAGTAGGCGCTGCTCCAAAGTAAAGAGGATTAGAGGGGCTGAAAGCACGTACATTAAAATTATAATGAAATGTTCAAAAGTACAGCAATATACTTGGCGTAAAGCCAGTTTATTATCGCGATCACAAAGTTCGCAATGATCTACCATCTGCGCATAGGTGAAGTGCCAAAGTCTAAGCCAGCGAGCGCCAACTGCAACACGTAATGCAATGAATGCTGATTTGATGGACCGTGATCAGATCGTGAGAGGGTGGAACAATAAATGAGCTGATATTAAAAAATTAACTCAAGAATTTGATTTCTGAATCTAGTCTACCAGTAAAATACTGTCGAGCTAAAGGTTATCATGCGGAAGCATGCCTGCAGTTGGTCGAGGATTCAGAACACGTTGTTTCGTCTGCCCACAGACCGCCTCCTAATGAAAATTGGCCCTCAAGACACGCATACATACGTTCAGGGGTAAAAAAGTGCTCCTCCATATATACCACTTCCAGACGCGGAACACCTGTCTTGACTTCCAAGACTTCAAAGCCAAATGAAAAAGAAAAAAAAAGACCTCCTTCACATAAGCAGCCGCATAACAGTACCGGCAGTCAACCCAGCGACCATAAAAACCAAGCCTCTTCATTTACTGCCAGCTGTAAAAGAGGTATGCCGCTGCTGCTACAAATACAATCTCGCGCGGTAGTAACATCGCAGCCAACGTTGCGAAAGAGCGAGTTTACACTAGGAAATTGGTAACTATGTGCTTGCATTCTTGAACGTAGTGGATGAAGCACATGCGAGGATGGCAATGCAGCTCCACCACCATCGTCAATGCCACTTACAAACCCGTGTAGGCTTTAACAATTTTAAAGGGTGCATACAGTGGATCTGACACAGCGTTTACTCTCCTTTGAACGGCACCAACTTCGCGCTTTGATCCACCAAGGAGGGCCCACGTCGAGAGGCATTGCATTTTTTATTATAAGCGCTTTATAGCGCTGCTTTACCTTGAATCGCGGTCTTCAGGTAACAGTTTGTGGCCTTTCATTCCTTCTGCGTGTTCCTCTGCAGTATATTGGCTTGATGGCTATGGAAGGTAGGCTGGATTTCGAAAACTACCACATCGGCGTCAATAATTTGGACTGCCAAAGGCAGTGAAGAGATCCTTTGTCCTCAAGAACGCACAATTTCATTAAACAAGGAGCCGAGAACAGTTCATAAGTAGTCTTCGAAACAGGAGAACATTGTCCAGCAGGAAGCATGATCTGATGTAGATATTCGATCAAAACGACCTAGCTGGATCCCTAACACTGAACTGTACTATCGTATTATCTCGATGGAAGGCTATCGTGTGATACACAGAATGACTCTCGAACCGTGAAGTTCGTTTCAGCGTCGACTCTTTCCTGCCTTCCATGAAGCAGGCCTCGTCACCAGTGATATGGGACCATCCCAAAGTTTGAGAGGTGGACAAAGACCTCGAAGGACATAATGAATAGTCCTCGCAACAATACCCACACTACATTTGATAGGAAACAAAAAATCACAAAATGAAATCAACCCTCCTCAACCTCAAGTTCACCCGCTTCAATTGGGGGCGATGCTGGAAACACCAAAGCACCACAAAAACATCGTCAAAATTGAGCGAGGAATCAAAAGCTGCCCAGGCAGCCAACAAAGTGTGAATCTATCGACACTGACTGACACAACTGGCAGTCCAAAAAAGTAAACAGGTTGCCTCTTGGACACCCACCTGATAAGGTACTTCAAATGTGCCAGAAAAGCATTTTAGTTGAGTGTTGAATGGTGGGTGGACAGTCAAATGAGGTTGTGGGAGGCCGCACTCACCGAGCAAATGGAGAGAATCCTAGTTCCAATGGTTCCGAGGCATTGTTGGCATTTCCGTTAAAGTTGGTGGCCACTAGCCATTTGACAGAGGGTCGTGGGTTGCCTGTCGCTTGGCAGCGAACCTGTGCACCGGTGTGATCAAAGAAACGGAGTAGCGGAGGAAGATCAGGCGTTATTCGAGGCGGTGAGAGATGGGAGAAATCGACGGGAGCTGAGAGGGTTCGTCTCCGACGCTCCAAGGAGACTTCTAGCCGTGAAAAAAAGACGCAACTTAAAAACCAACAATGGACCGTCATTAATTTGAAATGCGTCCAGAAGCCAGGTGTCTTGTAAGTCGCCGAGAGATGTCTGGCACATCATTAGGATTGAAAAAAATCCCACCCAGCGGTGGTATGCGGAACAGACGAGATTAGACGTAAATAACTCTGCCAAAGATCGCTCCCTACATAGTTAATGAGACGTCTGGACTCGCGAAAAATGGAGATTTGAGACAATGTGGATGATTCATATAGGCTGGAGAGTTACGCAAAAGTCGTTTTCACAGGTTCGCCAGGACGACTAGCGAACACAAAGCTCAAAGAAGATCGCGCCTTGTGTAACTTAAATGGAGGTCTAAAAGTGGCACCGTACATCAAACCATTACGAAAGAAGGCGGACGCAGTGGGCCACGAGGCTCTAGAACAGACGACAATTTCTGTACAACCTGATGGAAGCTGTTTTGACAGCTCGGTAGGGTAGCTGGACATGAAAATAAACACAAGTTACACCACCGACATCCTAACATTAAACTTTGAAAATCCAACGCCGAATAAGAGTTTAAAGCGGGGCGATGATGGTCTGTTTACAGGTTTACATGCATTACGACATTCGACGTGTGAAAAAAGTAGTATTCAGTCGGAATTAGCGAGATCGCGGCTGATAGTCCAATCGGAGAGAGAAGAGAGCCAGTCGGAGAGAGTGTTAATTCATTCCTCGGTCTGAGTTGCGTCCATGAAGAGCACCACCGATGGGCTTGAATCGCTCTGTCGATGTGACCGGTCACTCGGACTTGGAATAGGCCAAAGCTTCAAGCATTGCCTTAGTGACCATTCTGAATGGAATCAGATACTCGAGGCGGCAGAACATCAGGACGATGAAAGGATGATGACTGATGTTAAAAGACACGCCTGAAGGTTTAATTAAGCTTGCTGTTCCTGAATCCTACATTTTGTGGCTGAAATGGGAGAAGGTTCCAGTGACGAAGTCCGCCCGGACATTCAAAATGTGTCGGTTATCCAGCTGGGCGTCTAGTATGTGAAAGATCAGTGAGTAGGGGAGGATGCCTTAGCCTTGACAACTCTATGAGGTACTGACCGATCGGTAAAGTAATCGCAAGAGAGAGAGAATTCACTGGTGAAGTCCCGAGGCTGTGGTAGTAAACAACAACGTACCAACGTAATAAAACAAATTTGGATAGCGGAAGTGACATGAAGAACCTTTTAACGATTTACCACGACACGTCTACTAAAAACAAAACTATGCCACTGAGAGGAGACAATAAAATGGGACACTTTTACGGTCACATCCCCACACTCGGTGTAAGTGTCAAAACATCCAACTTTACTCCACCGTCAGGCGCCTTCTCCTTCGTAATGGCAGCAACTCAGAATAGAACCACCAACACATCGTCAAGGCACCAGAGAACCACTGTTTCCAACATTGATGCAGTTTTGTTGTGGAGAGATTAATAAATGAAGTGGAATGGACAGATTAGTGATGCGGTGAAGACACACAAAACAGTCCAGTACGCAAGTCCTAGAGCCGAGGACGAGGGCAGCCCCGCCACCACCATAGTTTTGCCAATCAGGACGGAGGTGGAGAACACAAGTGAACTAGAAATCGTCCAAGGGCAATTAGCGAGGGTTCAGTGCCCACAAAGCGAATAGACAACACCCTTGACGCGAGACAAGACTGACGCGTGTAAAAAATGACACACAAACACAGTGGTAGGCGCCGAGTGCTCCCAAGCCATTACCGACAGTCTGTCCCTGTCTTGGAGCACTCGAGACACCATTTCGATAAGACTGACTGATCACCATGGTGGAGGCTGGCTATGATTAACCTTCACATGAAAGAAGACCCAAAATTCACAAAAAAAAACGTGGAGCAACTTTTAACTACCCTACGGGACAAAGGACTAGTGGAACGTCACAACCGCCAAGAGGCAACTGAGAATCCAATCTTACATCAAAGGCGGTTCTGCAGGCCACATCTGCTAATGTCTGCCACAAAATTAAAAAAAAAAAAGACATGTTTTGGTGGTGAAGAGGAACAATAACCACCCACGAACCCATTTCAAGGTGAAAAGATTACAGAGCCACCCTCCATCACTGGTGATGAAGTAGAGGAAGAAGCTGCCCTTTGCGTAGCAATTAACCTCCCGCAATAAACACTAATTTCGTTTGAAACTCAGTGCCTTTTAAGAAGAAGACTCAGACTTTCTGAATTAATCCACCCCCGTGTTACAGAGTTAATTTGCAGCACTTCAGATAGAGGAATGCGATAAAAGAGGCAAGTCGATCAGGATGACGAGGATCCGGGCATAGCGTCCAAGACCAACAAAAACAAAGCCGACCGCGTCCATCGGCCATTCGGGACGACATTTAGAGGCCACTTTGTATGTGAAGCAACCAGAGGCGGATAAAGGACGGCCTCTTAATAGTCGCCGCTTTTGGGAA